TGCATCCATTCAACTCCAAGGCTCTTTAAGAATAAAGACTTGTTGTCCTATGCGGTTCTCATGACTCCATACCTCTTGCAGTTGCTTATCAAGGTGTTGAATCTAGAGTATGTGTCCGACAGGGATTCACTCTCTTTTGCCTTGAAGCTGTGGTATTTGTCAATGCAAATTGCTCGATTGTTTTTGAGTGTTTTCTTACCTCCTTCAATCTGTTTTTCTAATTCTGCCCAAATGTCCATGGACAATTGACAGTGATCGATACATTTGAAGATTTCATGAGGTATTGCCATGATTAACAATCGTTTGCACTTGCTACCCAATTCAACCATTATTTTGTCTTYGTCACTCCAGTTTGCAGCAGGTCTTGGTTCGTAATGTTCAGGAATTTCTGGGGTTGTGCCAGTAGCAGGAACTCTTGGGATTAAGTTCATTGGCACGTAAGGAGGATTATAAAGATATTCACATATCCTTGGGTGAATTCCTTCCAAGAAATTAACCATTCGCACCTTCCATTGTGGATACTCCTCATGGATGAGCGTGGGAGGTTTTGATTGAGAACCAGTGCTCATGAATGAGGTATTGGCAAGATTCGCCATTGAAAGAAGAAGAAAAATAAGAATAAGATGAAACTAATAAAATAGACTAAAACAGGGTAACCTGAATAAGAAGACTTGTGTTACCAAGAACAGAATTAATCAAATAAGAATACGATTCCTGCTCTGATACCAATTGTCAGGACCTGTAAACTCAGTTTTGATATCAATCAAATACTCTGGATGATCTTTAAGACAATCAAAGTGCAGCGGAAACAATATAAGAACAAATAGAGTAAGAATCAAGAACACACAATATATGAGAATGATAAACACGAGAGAATAGCTTCAAAGTTTTTTCAATTGAATTGAAAATAAGACGATTACAATACGGGAAGCACACTGAATTACAAAGGCCTAAGCTGCTATTTATACTAGTTCCTAACGACTTGTCTGACATGACCTAGACGTGTGAAACGATCCAAACCGTCCAAATAAAGTCGATTACAAACATAGTCACGTGAGAAGCACATGCAGCTAACGACCTAAGTAAAATAGTAATAAGAGGTTCTCCACATAAGATGAACCGTAGACCCTCTATGAGCCATCCTAGAGGCTCTGCTGCATATGACTTGTAAGCTCTTGATAACAGAAGACCATTTTCCAGAACCTCTGTGAGAGACAATAGAGGTTCTGTCAATCTTGACTTGTACGATCAAACAGCTTCTGTTGTTGGTCCTCTGTTGTCTTCTGTGGAAGAAACCCTTCTGTCAACACTTGCAGAAATCTTTTTCATACTTTTACATTAAGCAAATATTGGATCTAACAGTTACACTATGCTGTGAATTTCCAGCCTTAGAAGACAACCCTGAACTGTTGTTCTTCTGAGTTATTTTCTAGACTTTGAACACAACTATGAACTGTTGCTCTTCAAAGTTATTCTCTAGACTTGGAACACAAATTTGAAGTATTGCTCTTTAGAGTTACAATTTGAAGTTAATCTCCAGATTTAGAAGACAACTCTGAACTGTTGTTCTTCAGAGTTACACTTTGAAGTTAATTTCCATACCTAGAAGACAACTCTGAGTTGTTGCTCTTCATAGTTACATTTTAGAGTGAATTTCCAGCCTAAGAAGACAACTCTAAACTGTTATTTTTTGGCCTTAGAAGATAATTTTGAACTGTTACTCTTCAGAGTTATTCTCAAAGTTATTTTCCAGACCTAGAAGACAACTCTGAACTGTTGCTCTTTAGAGTTATTCTCAGAGTTACTTTCCAAACTTAGAATACAACTCTGAACTGTTGCTCTTCAAAGTTACACTTTGGAGTTAATTTCCAGAGTTACATTTCAGAGTTATTTTCCAGAGTTAGAAGACAACTATGAACTTTTGCTCTTCAGAGTTATACTTTAGAGTGAATTTCCAGACTTAGAAGACAATTTTGAACTCTTGTGTTTCAGAGTTACAATTTGGGGTTATTTTCTAGACTTAGAAGACAACTATGAACTCTTGTGTTTCAGAGTTATTCTGAGAGTTATTTCGTATAGTATATAACTTTTCACTAATGATTAATTGATTAATATTTTTGATTTACTTCTAAGTTTAAATTCAATTTATGGACATACTTTCATTTCTAAATTCAAAATTCAAAAATTTATCCATTTTCTATTGTATTCCCAATAAAACCATGATTTAGTTTTAAGTTTGAATTCAAAATTTCGTTTTTTTTATCATCAACCATTCCTTTAAATTGTGGCTGAATTTCGGCACTTTCTTACTCAGATTGGGAACAATTCTCAACTTCAAAAGGCAATAATCAATAGGAGCTGTTTATCTGCTGTAAGATATAATAATTTTCGTACAATATATAACTTCACACTTATAATTAATTGATTAATGTTTTGTATTTTACAGAATAATGTATAGGAATAATCTTACTCTGATTAAAGATTTTGACATACAAAAAGATGATTTTACTGCAAAGGTTAGAATAATTTGACTATGTAACCAACCAGTGTTTAAAAATCTTGAACAAATATATTCCATCGAGATGATATTAATGGATGAGGAGGTAAATTGTTTCTTTTATTCGAATCTTTAGTATTGTGTTCAACATATTTTCTTATTAGCTTTGATTGGTAATATTTTTCTATTATTAGTATTTAGTCCTATTCCATATTCATGTTTTCATGATACTAAAATCCATGCCATTGTTCTACAAAAATGGGTGCCGAGGTTCAAAAATTTGGTTCATGAAGGGCCTTCCATATTCATCAAAAATCCTATAATTGCTCTACAAGCCTCCAAATACAAGTTAATTGCTGATACAAACAAGTTAAGTTTGTATTACAAAACTTCAGTTACCAGCTGCCCGAATCTTAATGGTTCGTATTTGGTTTCTCATTTGTCAACTTTCAAAATGTGGTATCAAAGATGATTCCAGAACATGC